TTGTTCATGCAGCGGCTTCTATTTTTTCTCTCCAAATACCTCAGGCAAGTTAGTCCAGCAGTTATTTTCATTATCAGTACATCTGACAATTATTTGCTTCAATAACCGATGAACTCCTCCCTGAAGTCAAAGTTGGCATATTCTCCATGTTTGAGCTAACAGTCAAAATAAGTGATGTGAGGGAAAGAATAAAAATTCAGCTTTTAGACGATGGGAGCAGTTATTCTAAAGTTGTTCTTTTTTAATTTTTGCAAATGCCTGATATGGTTAATCGTCTATTAAATTCGTCCCCGATTAATTTCCTGCTGATGAACTAATCCATCATCGTCAGGTATATATTATATACAGCCTCATACTATACATAGCCTCGCTGGCGGATTGCTCTGCTGCTGCCGCAACACATGGTGGCGCCAAATCCCCTTTATGTGTCTGACAGACGCGGAGGATGAAAGCGAAGAAGAAGAAGAGGCGGCGTGTGATTGGTTATTGCTAGGGGACAGACAGCTTCAGAGCAGCCGCTACATCCTCAGTTCAGTGCGATCTACCTCGATTTGTCCACAGTTAATCACAGCTCTGTCTCCACACAACTTTATTTAAGTGCTTCAATGTAGATAAACCAGCAGAGGAGACGCTGCTGTGCGCTAACATACTTAGAACATAGAATGTAGCCCCCCTGTTCCTCCTCAGGTGTGGCAGACGAGTCTGAGAAGGTGAGTGAGCCACCTAGCTAATGCCAGTTAGCTAGCTAGCTATTCCATATACATGTTTACTTAATGTCTGTGTCTGTAAATAAGAAGAATACCCGCACACGTGTGAGGCCCTGTGCTGACAGGTTGTGTGTTCGTGTGCCAGCTGATGCTGGGCCTCTTCCTGTTCACTGACCACACAAGCTAGCGCCGATGTTAACATCCTCAGCCCGTGAAATCTGTGTTTTACAGCACGGAGCATGTCAATATTGTAGTTTTCAAAGCAACACATCCACTTCACTTTGCTGTCAGTTCATTTATTTATAATGTATGAACATGTAGAGACTCAGTCTCAATCTGATTTGTGTAGGTTTTTGTATCAACATATAATGATACAAAAGTGAGAATTTCAGAGCTAAAGCAGTTTATCAGTGTATTGTTTAGTTGGTCTGCACCTGTTTTGGTCATTTTTAAGTATTATCAAACCAAGCTAATGCTAAATATAGGTGTGATTTCCATTTTAAAATGCTCACTGCTAAAACACTGAGGGCAGATTCTGTTATTTTGCCTCTGTATCATCTGTAACCCATGACAGGAGATACAATCTAAATATTAGGTCTGTCAATGAGTGTGCATCCTGGAATAATAAAGATCAATGCACCATTAAAAGTAGTCTCACTAATAATGCCTTTCCTCTTAGACCACTGGCTACAGCTTCTTAGTTTTTTCCCAAGATCAAGAAACTTCAAACTGGCAGAAATGGATGAACAAAGTGTTGAGGTAAGTGTCACACACATCGGGTCCTGCAGCTGCAGCTCCTACATTTGCACTGCTTGAATGTTTAACACTAACGCTTGGCCAGCAGCCCATCTGGTAAAAGTGGGAAGGCTGGACAGTACTGGGCTGGTTGAGCAGGCTATTAGCTGGAACCTGATAGTCCTGCTGCCATTTAATACAAACATACTTTATGACGTATGATAACAAACATACTTTAAACATTGATGTGAAATATTTAGTTCGCCTGATGGCAAAATTAGGAGTGAGAACATTAAATTATGGTGGGTTGCCACACTCTAGGTATTGAATGTGAAACACTGCATTTTCTGTCCGTGCGCAGAGCATTGCTGAGGTGTTTCGCTGCTTCATCTGCATGGAGAAACTGAGAGATGCTCGTCTCTGCCCACATTGCTCCAAACTCTGCTGCTTCAGCTGCATACGAGTAAGTCACAATACCACTCAGAGAGTAGATGTTTTCATCACCACCCCACTCTGTGTTTTTCTGTTAGTAGTAAACTCTGGTATTAATATTAATTATTGGTTGAGCTGCATTTCTTGTCTGTTAATAACAGACATACAAGCTTGTAGACAATTTGCAGACTACTTCACTCAAAGGTTCAGTGACTAGAATGTAGTTACATCTAGTGGTGAAGTGTCATGTTGCAGCTGAACACCCCTCACCTAGCCCCCCCCTTCCAAACCTTTAATAGAACCTGTGGCAGCCTTCAGTTGTCATAAAACTCAAAAGGTGTTTAGCCTCTGTAGAGAAGACCCGCTCCTGATGTAAAATATAAAGTATTTAAATATAAAGGGCTCATTCTAAAGTAAAGAAAACATCAATTTGTACAATTTAGATGAAACACACTAGGATTATTTTTATTCAATTCCTGCCACCAGACTCCTTTCACCTAAATCTTACACACTGCACCTTTAAGAGTAATCCAGTGCTTCGATGTTTCACCTCACTGAATTTGAGGGATTCACAAGAGACAGATTTATAAAAAGATCGAGGAGAAAAAAGAAATGGATTAGCCAGAAATATTCTGACTGTGGCCTACATATCCCACAATGCATTTAAATAGCTTCTTTCCATAAGACCCTCACGGCCTGGTGAATGCCCACCTCTTTTAAACATCACTTGAACACAGTAAATGGTGCATTCATTAGGGGATAGTATTTTAATGCACGACTGACTGAAAATATACTATTTGTGTTCATTGTAACGAAGGAGTGTGTCACACAGTGCATTATTTGGTCATTGGATGACAGTTGAGTTCTGTTGAGGAACAGGATATCTCTCTTTGACTGCACATATAATTATGTTAATAAACTGTTGGTTTTTGTCTCATGGAATGAAGATTAGGATTTTAAGATGATATCATATTGTCAGTTTATCCAAGTGCTAAAAAACAGGTCAACTGGACTTGTTTGAGTTTCTTGTAGACGTTACACCTCTCATCCAAGAGGCTTTTTCAGTTCTAACTGACTGCTGGGTTACCTGAGAGGCTGGACCCACCCTGCTGTTTGTTTCATTGGGTGTCGTTTGCTGAAACTGATCCATCCCCACACCCAGACATAAGCATAGCAATGAAGTATATGCAGTTGAATGTAGTAAGGATTTATTGCACAGACCTGTACATTGGGAAAACTAAATAACCCCTTCATAAACTCATGGGAAAGCAGGAGACCCAGCGCCTCAGGTCAAGACAGAGCAGTCCACCTACATCTAAAGGACAAGGTCCATTCAAGACAACAATGTCCATATTTTGGCCAGGGAAGACATGGTTTGAAAAAAGAGTGAAGCGGAAGCCATCTACGTCAAACTAGAGAAACCATCTCTGAACAGATGAGGAGGTTTAACACACTACCTATCAGCCACATATAATACAGTCCTAATTTCCATCCCCCAGGAAGCAATTCACACCTTGGGACACATGACTCACAGGGTCGGGTGGGTCAACGACAGGTTAAATACCCAGGACTCTCGGCGACAGGTTACGACAGGTTAAATACCCGGGACTCTCGGCAGTCAGTCAGAACTGACTTCACGAAACTCAACCAAGTCCAGTAGACCTGTTTTTAAATTTTTACATTACATATCATTTAGCTGACCCTTTTATCCGAGGTGAGTTACAATAAGTACATTCAACCATGAGGGTACAAACCCTTTATATACAGTCTATGGTACAAACCCAAAACAGCAAGAATCATGTAAGTGACACACTTGGATATACCATGACCGGGATGACAGAATCTCCACAGACAGAATCATGTTCATTTACCATTGTAGCACTTTTGCATTGATTGTATTTTGATAAAAAGTATTTTCTTCTTTCAAAGCGATGGTTGACAGAGCAGAGAGCCCAGTGTCCACACTGTCGGTAAGCCCCTGCTAACACTCATCTGCAACCCTACACACTGTCAGTGTTGAACAGAAAATGTTACAGATATGTTTTCACTATTACCAATGTTAATAATATTTATTTAACAACATTTTTTATGGACTTGATGTCTCAGATCAATAGAGAAAATATTAGTAAACTGCACACACACACATCCACCAGCATTAAAATGGAAGATGCAGCCAGTGTTTTGAAAACTAATCATGAGTCTTTTGATAATTGTTCTCCACACAGTGCTCCGCTCCAGCTGAGGGAGCTGGTCAACTGTCGCTGGGCAGAGGAGGTCACCCAGCAGCTAGACACCCTGCAGCTCTGCAGCCTCACCAAGCATGAAGACAACGACAAGGACAAGTGAGCGCCTCCTACTGCTCTTTCACTGCCTGTCCTGCCTCATATTTATATAAGTATTCAAGGATTACTTTCTATGATTTTTCAATTATTACGTCCTGACCATATATCACCTTTCTAGGGATCTCATTCCATAAAATATTGTTTAATCAAACTAACTTGCAGTAGTTTTTCTTTTGTGTAAATAGTTCTCTGTGTTATTAGAAAAACTGTTACTTTTAGTGTCACTTCATTTGAAAAACATCCTCTGTTGAAAATACAGAAATCCCAGCGGCTCTAATGGAGCTCCGGATTCATCTGGGAACGGTCACAGTGCATTAGAACTAGCAGACATTTAGAGTGTTGACAATTTAAGTTTCCAAAACAGCCTTTCTTTCTGTCTGATGATACTGTTGTTGGATTCCTGCAGATGTGAGAACCACCATGAGAAGCTAAGTGTCTTCTGTTGGACCTGTAAGAAATGCATCTGTCACCAGTGTGCTCTGTGGGGAGGCATGGTAACGTTTCACAGATTTGTTTTTGGATTAGAGTTTGGATGAACAAGTCACAAGCACATAATAATCACCATCATTATTTACAATAATCAATTTTCCAGGGAGTAAAAGTAAAGCTGCATTTTCTATAGTCTGCTGAATATTTTTTAATCAATCAATTAATGGTTTGATCAATAAAATGTCAGAAAATAATAATCTTACATAGCTTTCTTCATCTGAGCAGCAGTCAATTTAGAACCATTGAAGACAGAAATTGAAGTAGAAAATCATCACATTAAAACATGAATCCAAAATGAAGTCTTATTTTTGTTTTACCCAGCATGGTGGCCACACCTTCAAGCCTCTGGTGGAGATCTACGAGCAGCATGTGACCAAAGTGAAGGAGGAGGTTGCCAAACTCCGTCGTCGCCTCATGGAGCTTATCAGTCTGGTGCAGGAAGTGGTGAGGGCTGCTCTGTTTTCACATGAAATGTCAAAATCTAAAAGATCAATGGCCATGGGATTTAATGGGTATATTAACCCTCCTCTGAGGAAGAAAATCTGTCTCTTCTGGACACAGCTTTTGCTTTCCTGTAGCGCCACCCTCTGACACAATAGAACCCACGCCAGAAAATGTCTCTATTCTTATCCAAGAACTCTTTTACTTTCTACAGTAAGATTTAGTGGTGTGTCATCAGGCTGATGGTCACCAAGGCTGTTATATGAGTAGCGCGACTACCAATTCTTTTAGGGTGGCATCGAAAGACAGTGCATTTTTTAAAATGTGTTATTAATAAGTAACACTTCAGGAATTCAAAGTTGAGAATAGATATCTGTTAAATACAGTTGCACGCATATGTGCGTTTCAGGAGAGGAACGTAGAGGCTGTCAGGGGAGCAAAGGATGAGAGAGTGAGAGAAATCCGAAATGCGGTGGAAATGATGATCGCTCGTCTGGACAACCAGCTGAAGAACAAACTCATCACCCTCATGGGTAAGTCTCCAGGACACACCACTATTGATTCTGGGTTTACAAGATGACAAATGAGGCTTGTAGTTAGATTTAAACCAAGCTACAAATCAGTTTTGTGATGAAACCATAGCAAAAGAGCTAAAAACTAAAATTTGTCCAACCACAGTAATAAAAGCCACCACTTTAACATATAGATGAAACCATGAATGTTTATATCTCATGTCTGAAAGTAGCTCTTGTTGGTGTAAGACACCATAACTGGCAATACAGTGTGTAAAGGTGGAGACCTGACCTAACATAGTATGGAGGCTCCCTGTTGGGCACAGCGCCTTTTATAGCTCTGGGTAATGTCCATATGAAATATTTATCTGTACTGAGTGGATGCAAGCACTCAGTGCTCACACACACAACCTGTACACTCACCCACCCACTCACACTCACCAGCCTCCATCAGGGCCGACATTCAACACAAGTAGACTGAAAATAGAAATGTGCTCCTCCCCACCAGGCCAGAAGACGTCCTTGACCCAGGAGACAGAGCTGCTGGAGTCTTTGCTGCAGGAGGTGGAGCATCAGGTTGGTTGTCTGCAGTAGCTCAAAGACCCTATTCATTTAGCTGCACTGCATGTTGTTACTGTGTGTGTTGTGTGATGATAAACTCATTTTAGCTTTCTTGATGCTGAAAAGATGACAGCTCTGTCACAACATAACCAAATCTTCTTACTGGCCTCTCTGAAGCTAGCTTACACATGTTATCATGTTTGTTTAATCCATGCTAATACTGAAAAGTGTGCCTATTTCTAGAAACACTGTGCCATTAGCTGCGTGTCAGTGGCTACAACATCATATTTGTGCGGTTTTTATTTTTGTGTTGAACAGCTTCACTCCTGCAGCAAAAGTGAACTCATCTCCAAGAGCCCAGAGATCCTGCTCATGTTCCAGCAGGTCCATCGTAAACCCATGCAGTCCTTCGTCACCACACCGGTCCCTCCAGACTTCACCAGGTGATGTGCTCAGCTGTAGGGAAGGGTGTCGCAACTTATCATGACCATGATTGCATTTAATTCATATTATCATCAACAATTTATCTCATGTTTATTTTTCTGTCGTGTGTAATTGTCCGTCCTCTGTGTGCTTTCAGCGAGCTGGTTCCTGCCTATGACTCCAGCACTTTTGTTCTCATCAACTTCAGGTAAATTCTCTCCTAGGCTGTATTTAGACATAGCTGCAACAATAGTATAAATATAAATAAGAGCTGCATTTACACTTTTTTCAGTCATGTATGTAGTAATCAATAATGTAAGAACTTATTCAGACAGCTCCTTTAATCTTCAAACAACATTTTTAGTCTGATTCAGACAGATATTGATGCAGCATCTTTGTCTACACTTGTTCTACATCATTTCACTATAGGAGACCCATTTGTTTCATGTAGTGTATGTCTGGTTTTTGGGTTTAAACTCCTTCTTTGTTAAGGGCTGGTGTATCTGAAATGAATAAAGTTCATGGAAAATGGTTTAAAAATAGCTAAACAAGTCAGTAGTGTGCAGCAGTTTGATTATGAGGATGAGAAGTACTCTGAAGTGGTTCTACCCACCGCTGTATCTGTTAGAAGAACTTGTTAAACATGGAGGACTCCAGCAGAACCCCTGTTGGTCATGAATAAAAAAAGTGGAGGAAAATGTAACTGCCAATACTTAATTTAATTATAACTAATCAACAGCTTAAAAACAGGAATGAGTTTGAATGATGTGTGTATTTGTGTGTTTGTGTGTTTGTAGCACCCTGAGGCAGCGGGCGGACCCAGTGTACAGCCCACCTCTACAGATATCTGGACTCTGCTGGAGACTCAAAGTCTACCCAGTGAGTGTGAAACAGTTTCCTCTGTTCAGTATTTTTCCCTTATAAAGAAATGCAGAAAAGAAAAGTATATTTTCCCAAAGTTGAATCACATTTGTGAAATACAGTTATCCAGCTTCTGGTGGAGAATTTAAATGTGAAGGTCAATACCACCCTTACATCTGTCCATTAAATACAATGCTACAGCCAGCAGCATGTTAGCTAAACATAAAGACTGGGAACAGGGAAACAGCCTGGTTTTCGCAGTAACAAAATTAACCTACCATAACCTAGACAGCTTAATTATTCACTTGTTATAGTTTGTTAGTAACTCCCTGATGTTACTGTAAATCAATGCATGTGTCTCTGTTAGTAACTATTAGTATGTGTTTCCTCAGGATGGTAATGGTGTGGTCCGTGGAAACTACCTGTCAGTATTCTTGGAACTGTCTGCTGGACTCCCTGAAACATCAAAGTATAAATTATTTTTTATAAAATACATTCTCTATTTTCTTTCTCTCTATCCTCATGTTCCTCAGCAAAATTCTCTGTATATTTGTAATCTTTCTTTAAGGTTAAATCTGTGGTTACATTATCATAGTTAGAAAGCATTTACAACAATCAGAGAGGAAATTAGACGCCTAAATTACGAAGTATTAATGCTGCAATATTCATTAGATGTTGGCAACAGAAATAAGGAATTTTTAAGGTTTCTTTTGAATGAAATCACTGTCTGAACACATCTCAGGTCCTGAGGGCATCTAGAGGCTTTAAAACCTAGGTGATATATACCGAATTTTATATGAACTGATCCCTTCTGCATTGTTTTACTTTTCCTTTGTAAGGCAGAAGCTGTGCTGTTTCTTTTCTTATTTTCAAATGGCACAATTGTTGTGCAATTGAGTCTGTCAGTGGCCCAACTGCATCTGAAATCCTGTCTCACGTCTCTTGTTGTGTATTTTTATCTTGGTTCTGTGCAGGTATGAGTACCGGGTGGAGATGGTCCATCAGGCCTCCAACGACCCAACCAAAAACATAATCCGGGAGTTTGCCTCAGACTTTGAGGTTGGTGAATGCTGGGGCTACAACCGCTTCTTCAGACTGGACCTTCTGGCCAGCGAGGGCTACCTGAATATGCAGACGGACACACTGGTCCTCTGGTGCGCTCACACACAAACACTCACATTGTCATCATTCTACAGCTCATGCTCACCTGCACCAACACTCAGATATTACCACAGGATAACAGAATGTGATCATTTTTTATCTGTGTGCTGCCCAGCTACCAGGTCCGATCACCGACCTTCTTCCAGAAGTGCAGAGATCAGTACTGGTACATCAGCCAACTGGAGTCGGCCCAGAATGGCTATATACAGCAGATCAACAACCTCAAAGAGGTACTGTTGTGTTTTGTTGTGTTTGTATTTGTGTTGAAAATCAGTCAAGGTTGTAAATTTCCAAGTAACAGCAGTTTTGAAGTTAGGGCTAAGTTTCCAAATATGTTGCTTTACACTTGAGATGCATATGAAATGATGCACAGACAAACTTTCTGTTTGATGCATGGAGCTGATGAAGTTTCATTCAGTAGAAACATAAGAGAACTTAATTGAAAACCTTTAAAAAGATGCTACCTGATGTAAATGATTTTGTCAGACTCTGTGGAGCATGAGATTTTCCCTCCAAGACAATTAATTTGGTAATTAAAGATAATTGTGTCACTATTTATCACTAATTCTCAGGATTCCAAAGCTAGTTGATTTGGTGCTACGAAAATTGCCATAAACCAAAGTATGAAACTTTTCCATTAGTGCCCAAACTGTGCATGCACCTGTTTGTTTTTGTAAACCAGTATTTCACTACTCTATCACTCATCCAGTCTGATTCATTATCTGATTTCAGAGGCTGGCCATCGAGCTGTTTCGCCGTCAAACATCACGCAGCTCGTCACCCCCTGACATGAGGCTGGCTACAGGTACCACAACCTCTGAAAAAGACCCTCGCTCAGTGAAGAGCGACGATGATATCCAGACCATGTTGTCCAACGCAAAAAAATGTGAAGAGGAGGAGAGGACGCAGCAGGATGATTCTAATGTAAGGATGCAATATAAACTTATTTGACTGAGGGAAAGACTTTGTTTTGCTCACCCACCTCCTGTGTTTTAACTGGGATCCCTATTAAATTAAATTGTTGACATTTAAATTATGTCCATGGTAATTTTGGAAGAAATGAAAAACATAAACATTTGAAAGGAAGTTACTCTTGAACAAATGAGGATATCTCTGTCGCAGAAGCCCTGAGCTCGGTGTAATCACGGTGTAACTGTGTTGCTTAGGAGCTGTCGGACGGTGATTTGGAGGTGGACTGTCTGACGGAGGAGGAGGTGAACCCGCTGGATGGCAGCAGCACCTCAGGGAGCTCCACAGCCACCAGCAACACTGAGGAGAATGACATAGATGAGGAGACCATGTGAGTAGAATTTCTTTCACTCCCTTGAACTAACATTTATATTTTGTTGTATGCTTCATTACAGATGGTTACAGCTTTAACAGATTTGTATTGTAGTTTAATGATGCTATTACTTTCCTTAAAATGTAATTTGTGAAGTCATGTGTAATAAAAATTTTCATATTTGCATAATTACTGAACACGTTTTTTTTTTGTATGTTTGCACAGGTCTGGAGAGAATGATGTGGACTTCATTGGGAACCTGGAAACAGAAGAAGGAGAACTTCCTGATGACTTGGCTGGAGCCACAGGTAAATTCAGTATGTAAATCCCACACTTCAGTTTTACTTTTCTTTTGTAGGAATATGTTTCTTTGTTTAACTCTGCAAAGGAGATCTGAGATCTATCTGTTTGTTAGCAGATATTGTGTCTGACTCACAACATAATTCAATAAAACTTGGTTTAAAGTTTGCTCACCATCTTGTTGCAAAGCTCTAAGCATGTATGACCACATTGTGACTGCACATGTGTAGTAAACAGATCTTCTTTTGTATCCACTGTCCTTAATTGTCCCTCTTGGAGTACCGTGTTAAAAAAAAAGAAGTGATTTGTTTAGCACCACCACATGTGACTGCAGAATGGTTTTTGAAGCATCCAAAAGACAAAGTTGTCTGTCCACTTACATTTAGTCTCAAATCATCCAGTATAGCAATGAATGGAACTCTCATGTAAATACAGACAATATTGTTTTACATTTATTCTTTTGGTTAAACTTGAACTTTCTGAAATATGAATACAAATAAAACCTTGAAGGAATAATGCATTATTTCGAGTGTGTGTTTTAACAGTGAACAACAGGGATGCTCCTACAAAGACGTTGTTTAGTCTTCAGTTTAGGTAAAAGCCACAGTGACTATTTGTCACTCGAATCTATTTGTGTTGTCTGACAACTGCATAACCAGCAAATAGTGATAGTTGTGCGTCAGAGCAGCTCCTTCACTGTGTTTGACTCTGTTGGTGTTGAAAGACATGAAGAGGATGAGTCATTGTTGGAGCACTGGGCCCCTCGCACTGTGCCGATATAGAAACACTAGGTGTGTGTGTCTGTGTGTTTGAGGGGAGGTTGATGTTTCTGTGAGAGAAAGGCTCAGAAGGCTCATGAGGCTTGAGCTCAGAAAAAGTCTGCTGCACATTCATTGCACAAAGTAATTTATTATTTATATATTTTACTTTTAATTGGAAAACAGCAGAAAGACCAACCTAAATCTGTTAATTCATTCTATGATGCAGAAGTTTCTACATCAGCAAAGATGAATTATGACTTAATTTGGACTCTATTTGGGAGTAATATAGATTACAAGATAATCTATGAATAGTTAGATAGTACTTATGACCTTGATTTTAAGACAAATCAAATGTACCATATATTTAAAGACAGGATGGATGAGTGGATAACAACAGTTTGCTCAATAACTTGTAAGAGACAAGTAAATATTCTCCAGGCTTTGAAGGAGAAAGGACAACAACAGCAAATCATTATCTATGGATACCACGTGTGAGGAAGTTTTTCGTGAAACTTGAATTTTAACTTTCACTAGACATTTACTGACTACTTTTGACTTTCATTACTTCCTTAGTCCTGGATTTTTAAGTTTGTAAATTCAGTTTGTTCAAAGTCAAAGAAAAGCATTTGTCCATATGAACCATGTGAAAAACATAAACTCTTGTCTACAGGTGGATCCAGCTCTAGTGCACCTTCCTTACACCGCAGTGCTGCAGCTGGTCGTAGTGGCAGCGGGGCTGCTGCTTGTGGTGCCGTTGGGCCAGGCAGCAATAGCCTCCTGGAGATTGACCCGGTCATCCTGATCCAGCTGCTGGATCTGAAGGAGCGCAGCAGCGTGGAGTCTCTGTGGGGGCTTCAGCCTCGGCCTCCTGTGTCTCTCCTACACAGCCAAGGTCTGTAAACACAGCTCGCAGCTCACTAACAACAGATCAGACGAGCTAAACAAAGAATCAATACGCACAATCACACACAAGGTCCCTTTGGATATTTCACAGCAATTATAGTTGAATGAGGTTAAGGGACAGGTTGACATTGCTTTTCCTGCTCTACCCAAAACATTTGAGAAAACGCTAATACATTTACATTCGTATTGATTGAGACCATGCCAGGTATTTAGATACCTTGTGGTTTCTCTTATGTCGGTGATGCCTTGTTTAAACACCTTGTTTCTCTTTTTATTCAGTGAGAGACAAACTGTTTAAAGTGCCCTAGTTAAGGCCAATTGGGTCAGTTGAAGTTTTGTATTCACATAGGTAAGATCAAGCCAGTGTAACAGATTCAAAGTTGTTTGCTGTGAAGTGATATTTTTGTGGTTTATTGTTTTTAGAATAGTGCTCCAGTGTCTCTCCCTGGTGGATGATTACACTAATTATATCTACTTTTTACTATTTTTAGACTATTTATTTTTGGGCGGATTTTATCTTCCTAATAGCAAACACGGAATAAAGAGCTCGGATATGTTTCAAGAATGAGTTATGGACCAAATTTGTAATGAGCAATAAACATTGATAAAATGCTGGATAGTATGTGGGTGGTAGAAGATAACGGTGAGGAGCGTTGCCCTGTGCAGCGCCAGCAGCAGCTTGGCTTCTCAAATAGTCTTATACATTATATACTGGTGTGAGTCTTGAGTTTATGACATTGGATTTTCTTTATACATATTTTAAAACCCACATTTTAATGAGCAGAAAACTGACATTATTGTCGTTTCTGTCTCTTCCAGCTCATACTCACTCCAGGAAAGAACGAGAGAGGCGACCTCAGGTGGTGCGACGATCAGCTCCAGACTCGGGGGTCCTGATCCGCCTCAAGGCTCAGATGGCAGAGGTCCGCAGCAAGATGTCAGTCAAGAGTCAAGCGCTGGAGGCTCGGGGGGCCACGGAGCCCAGGCCTGGCCCATCAGGGGCCTTCAGTGTGGAGGAGGTTCCCTCTCACCACGCTGACTCAGAGTTGTCAGCTTGTCGTAAGACCAGTGAGCTGGACCTCCTGGGGAGGGCAGCTGCTCGGGCCAGGCCCTGCCGCCCTGGTGAGTACTGCCACGCTGCTAATGGTAATGATGCTAAGCTACTACTACACCAAGAGTGTACAACAATAGCAAGCTGTATTTCTGTGAAGTATTTGCTGGTTTAAACATTCAACACGATGAACCATTGACCTTCAGTCAATATCAAATAATAAATGTACCATGTGACTCCACAGTTAGTGGGTCAGGAGCACTAAGATGACATGTTATTACATGTTTGTGTACACGTGTTTCTTTTTTCTGTGCGCAGCCAGGAAATCTCTCTCTCCTGTCCTGGACAGCAGTGGCTCTCTGGTTGTGAAGAGGAGGAGTCCAGAGGAGCTGGAGAAGGAGCTGAGAGGAGCAGAAGCAGCTACAGAGCATAGCCTGCCTCCTAAAGAGGGACTGGCAGCTGCAGACGGTCAGTCATTTATTAACTTGTCTTATTAAATGTTTTCTTTTTTTGGTTACATATAGACAACTTAGATATAATATGATTTGGTGAGCCACACCACGATTATTAATTGAGGATAATATGTTCTTAATCTGTAATAAATATTGTAACCTCCTTGATAATAGACTGAGTTCATTTTGCTGTATTCATTAAGGAGGGAACAAAACTTAATTTGAAACCATTTAAGCTGTTCAAGTTTTCCTTAGAAATATTATAGAGGAAGAAGCAGTGATCGTGTGAATTGACGCAGGTAAAACAATTTGTTTCAGCACATTCCCTGCAGATTACCTCGTAGTGTAAATGCTGTCTTTCTACTGATTTATTACAAAATATTCCCAGCCATAAAAACTTTGTTAGAGCTTAATCTTTCTACCGTGTTGTGTCTTGTTCTCTGTAAGCCTGCACACTCATGGGTCTATGGTATTACTCAAACTAAACTTTTTGACTTGCTCATAACAAATGCCACACCAACACAGCATTCCTTACATTTGTTAAAATGCTCTGTTTTCTAAGACTTTGCTTCTGTCTCTCTTCCAGGAGTGCTGAAGGCTGATGGCACCCAGGGCCCCCTCTTGTCTCAGGGCTGCTCCTCATCAGAGCAGGCCTCCACCTCCAAGCAGCAGTACTCAGTAGAGCCACAGCTGTATGGGAACTCTGGGCCAAAAGATGACATCTTCTCCTTGGGAGGACCAAGCTACTTAACTGCCAGCAAGAGCTGTGGCAGCAGGACCCTGGGGTGCGTCTCAGGGACTCATCATTCACATGAAAAATATCCCTATTTAGCTGCAGCAGATAGTCGTTTTACTAAAACTGCAGCAGAGAATGCCTATTGTATTACAATGCTTCTATTTTCTCCCACCACAGGGCAGCAATGTTGGACTGTGAATCAGAGAGCTCAGGAAATCAGTCTCTGCTGGAGGGACCATCTGCACAGCCACAGTCAAAGGAAGGTCTGTTCACCCTCTACCAACCCCAGGAACTAATATATTTTTATTTGGGGGGTTTTTTAAGCATGTGCCGTAACAAAAGTTTTGGTTAACTTAACTGCTCAATAATGATCACTGAAATAATAATAGACAGGTTTGGTGGTCTCATCCTCTCTCGTCCTGTTTGTAGATCAGTCTCCCTCTGTCCTGGTGGCAGCAACAAGCAGTGACAGTGACAGTGAGGAAGAGGCGCTGCAAAGCAACAACTCAAGCTACGACAACCAGACTCCTCCCTGCACAGGTGACACACACACTCGCAATGTACATGATAATACATTCTGCTTGTTTTTGGGTTGTCTCAGATGATAAATGTGGTAAACTCTTTATTCATATATCAAAGATCACACTGGTGGACACATCCAAAGATGGGCACTTTTGTGTTTTGGTCCCAAAAATGGAGCATCTAGTGCAGCTACAGTGCTGATGCAATCTGTCCACAGACGTATAAACACCTGCCACGGTCCACAAAAGCAAAGTGACAGTTCCTTATACAGTGTCATGATGACTCATTCAAACACAGAGGCTGAAAACAGCCCAGGTGTTGCAGCTGGTAAATATCCAACATTGTATCTGCTGCTCTAACATGTGGTTAAAAACCAGTCTATAAGACTTTAATATCAAAATGTCCTTTTTTTGTGTTCTCCCTGAGCTGTGACCAGCTGACTAGTTTCTCTTCAGTGAATATTAGAAGTTGTTTGTTAAGATAATGGAGCAACTTCTCCAGTGGGTTCATATTAAAACACTGTGGAGGTAGAGGCTTAGACACACATATCTCAAAGGGGATAAAATGATGTGGAATATGTAATGAAAATATTGAATTTAATTCAATACATGAAACAGTTCTCAGTTTCATGTATTGAAAAGGAGACGGTCTCAGATCTGATCTGATGTTTTCATCTGCAGCAGTTTTTCGTCTCTCAAGAAGAACAAAAGCTTCAGTGGATGAGTAATTAACTACGTCTGCTTCCATTTATTTTTGTCACATTTTCTTTTCTAGTTTCACATTTCCACCTTGACCAAGGGCTCAAATCTTTAGTTGATCTTTTAACTTTTTTATGATTTTATACTTCTCAGGTGGGTGAAGTTAAAGCTCTCACTGAGCGAACAGATGTTTCAAAGCTCCACAGAGTGGCTGATACTTCACTGTAGGTTCATTGCTTTGCTATTTCTCCTTCTCCTTCCTCCAGGAGAGCAGCTTATGTCAGATGACATGAGTCTTCCTGCTGACAGGTGATTCCCTCTGAGTCTGTCAGACCTGGCAACCCACTGCTTTATCCTCAGGCCACACAGTCATGCAACAACGGCCGCGGACGACACACATGCTTGTTACACAGATTTGTAGAGTAGAGAAGCTGCTTGTTATGCATGAACTCAAAATTCATGACAATTCAACAATGGTATTGTTTGATCATCTGTTCGTCCAGAAAGAGTGGATTTGGTGGTAAAGACGGACAGTTGATTAACTTCATATGATCGAATAATATCAATGTCACTAATACAGTGTGAATACAATGAAACTACACTTAAACACAAAAATTGAGAGGAACCGAACTTCGCAATTTTGCCACTTAGAATAATTATATTTCTCTCTTCACTGCTCAGCATTTCTTGGTCGTCAACTTTCAAGGACCTACACGCTTTCACTTCTTTCATTGTAACTTCAGTAAGTGCATCTGAGGAAAACATGCCCGGCCAATGACTGAATTTCTTCACTAAAAAAAGTTAGAAGGTACAAAACCTCCTGGTGTATCTTAATACATTTATTTTGCAAACCTGGACTACAGGGCATTTAGACACTTTTATTAACTGTAAGTACAAATCTGTCACTTTTTTTGTGTATAAATGCTTTTGTAAATCTAATTCTATAACATATTTACAAGAATCTGAGGTTTAAGTGTGTTATCTGAAGCCTGTCAATAAGAAATGTAAACTTTTATACCAGTGTGCTGTTGAGTTCAGTCTGCTCTTCAGTCTCAACTTCCTGCACCTCTCTGTGTTGGTGCTTCTCAAACAGTCTTAGTGACGCTGTAGTTTGTTGATGCATAAATACAGAACTTCCCTGACTCATGTAAACCTTTAATTTCCCCATTCTGGTTATTTATGTAAATGTACTCACTCTGAATAGCAGTTGCAGCAGCACCAGGGACGTCTGTCTCTGTTTGACATTTGAAAAGGCTAAATGATCACAGTGTGGATTTTAAAACACCTGCTGCACTGCTTTCTTTTCTTGCCTGAAATTATGAATTATACTACAGAAGCCATAACCATGTGCTGGCAGATGTTTGGTTCAATCTATATCTGCTCAGACTGTAAATTAACCTAAGCGGTACTGTTCTGTGCAGGTGGAATCTTTGTCACAGTTGTTTGCAAAAGCTGAAACACCTTGAACAGGACTCTTTCACAGCAGGTGTGTGTGTGTGTCTGGAAATGTTTCTGTGCTGTGAGCAACACAACTCAAATTCTATTTAGTTTTATAGTATAGCTGGAGAGGCGGACATTTCTGATAGACATATTAAAACCTTGGCAAATTAGACAACAACGACCTGCACAATGGGATACCTATAGAGAAAATAATTCTTTTTCAAATTTGGTTATTCATATTTATTTGGAAAATAAATAATCTGCTCTTAAAGATGAATCTACGGTTTTGTAATTCTCTGAACTTGAAAGCAAAGATTTAAAAATGTAAATATTTAACACTTGCTCTACACTGATAACTCCCACTTACACTGGTTTTTCTTAATTGTTAAACACTCAGTAAAAAGAGCAAACAAATTTGAAGTTGAAGGCTGCTGCCAACAGTGAACACTATCTGGAGAAAACATGGTGTCAAAGTAGGAGAACGTAACAGAAGTTTAACAGACGTATGTGCACTTTGTTGATTTACTCTGAAGTTCTGAAGTGGACACTTTGATCTTCATTTTTGGATCAAAGAGATGACATTACATATTGTGCAGTCAATCGTTTACATTGTAAATATCTTGCCTGCTGTACAACGTGCATGGCTTTATTGGCTGGGTTGAGAGAAGAAGGTCATAACAGCGAAGCTGATGTTTGAACTTATTCACTTCTACAGTTCGAGTCCAGTGATTTCAGGATGCGATTTCCTCTTTTCCTCCGTCACTGCTGCTGCTCATGAATTTGATGGAGGCGTGGGAAACGGCAGCCACGTTAACATGTTTTGTTTGTTCAGATTTTCTCTTTTATTTGTGCTTGTTGTGTCAAACCCCTGCTCTTGTTTCGAATGTTCACAGGATGTACTGTGCATTATTCAATCTGTACATTTCCCTTTTTGTTTAATAAATAAAATGTTTTACCATCCTGAAAATGACCATTTAGCCTTTTCTTCTGTTTCACAACACTTTGCACGTGGATCACAGATGACGTGAGCTTGTGACAGTGATTTCGAATGTTTAAATTCTGATTTAGAATTGTGCTTAAGCAATTTCTTTGCTTAGTTTGCCCAAGATGAAAGTTAAACTGGTTTATCCTGAGATATTTGGGTCGTCACTTCCATGGTTAAATAATCAATTTGAAGCAGAGTGACTGTGACCTGTCAGTGATGGATGATGGTTGTTTACAGCAGACTGTGGTAATAATGTTTGTCTTTCCTGCGGGTTTGTTTCTGATCATGTGACTGCTCGTGTTTCCTGCAGTGGTGTAAGAAGAACTCAGATCAATACGAACATTAGAAATATAGTTATACTGGAAAAAATGTCCTACATTCAAGTTTTTACTGAGGTAAAATGTGAAAGTATTAGTATAAAAATGTACTTTCAGTACAAGAGTGAAAGTAGTCACTCACACAATCAGCCATTTCAGAATTGTTTTTGTTGTATTATTAGATTATAATTGTTTATGTATTATGAGCGTCTCATGTTGTGCTAATGTGGATCTAAACGTTTCCTCAGGGGACTGGATGTCACTCAGCATCCACAAGAAGTAGGTCATCTTTTTTGTTTTCTTATTCATGTCTAATGGCAAAATGATTATTTTTTTAATAAATGAAAAGACACTGATAATTTTGGAGGAAACTAGAGATTGAGACCTACACTTAAATCAACTAAATCAAATGCAAAGCATCCAAAAGGGACTTGAATCTACTAAAAATAGACACAAAACAACTATAAATAGACACAAAATGATGGGACAGAGACACAAAACAACTAACAAATGATGCAACACGACCAGAGAGAAAAGCAGTGTCATTACCAGGTGTTTTTCTTTAATTTTTTTTTATAGTCAGGCGGCCTGAGACCTGTTGTCTTTTACTCGGTTCATGACTGTATACAAGTGATGCTGATTTACAAACTTAGTAGAACACTATTACAATAAAGTAGAATATTCATTTAGCATCAGTTTATCACACTGATATAATCAATGTAACTATAATTGGAGTCCTGACCCTTTGTTAGTCGTATTACATGCACCCTTGTTTCTATACTTGAAGACAAACCCTCAAGTTTTTTCCTGTGTCTCTGAATTTCATCGCCCTGTTTTCGTCAAAGCCAAAAACCACTGGGATAGAGAGAATAAAGCCAGATTACGAGTGGGGTGAAATGATGGGTCTTTTTATAGAAAGAATGTGGAGGACTGCTCACTTTTGTAAAGCTGTTTATGTAACGTCAGACAGCACTGTTCCACATGAAAAGCCTTGTTACAGCATCACAGTGCTTCTCACAGCTCCTGGCTCTTTACTCTGCTATCAAAACAAAGTGCTCAGGTTTCCCATCATTCACCTGCAGCAAAACCAAACAGATCTTAACTTCCTGTGAATCCTGCTGTGTGATGTCCAGAGACTGTCTGACCCGTCTGCGACTCAGAGGAGTCACAAGATGAATCTTCAGGAAGTTGTGAGATAGTTTAAGACAGATGAAAGAAATAGTTCCACTACACAAACCGGTCATGGGTTTTGATGGAACAGCTGACTTCTCAGTGTTTTTTATGATCCCAAGAATATTCTGAAAATAATCTGGTCAAGTATTTCAGCTACCACCAGTTTCAGTTCCTTCAAGAATGAGTCAGTCATTTAGTGCAGAGATGCCTAAAAACCATAATAGTTGTGTTTTGATGTAAATGAGTGAAAAACAGCATTGTCCATATACATGTCATTACAAGATGACATATAGTACGTTAAGTATTTTGGAAAGTTAATTTTTTTGTTCTTGAGGCGCTGAGCATGAGCACATCAATTTCAATTTAAAGTAATGGATACTGCATAAAAGTACCTCAGCTTTATTTGAGTAGATTCAGGAGTTCCAGTGTGATGCTGCGCCGTTGGATTGTGATCAGGTGACTGACTTGAAATTCCTCCGTTTCACCCTGAAAAACTCTGTGGTTGCTTTGGTCGATGTAGAATCATGATCCTGCTGAATTCTGAAATATTATTCGATGAGGCCTTTTTCAGGATCTGAGCACAAGCAGCTCCTCTCAGGTGTATACACAGACATGCCTGAAACCACAACAGAACCACTGCCATGTTTGACAGGGTTTAGGTCATGAGCTGCTCCTTTGTTTCTTCACTTTCCTCTTCCCATCATTTTGATAGGTTGAGTTTTCTTTCATCAGTCCACAGAACCTTTCAACGGAGCTACACCAGGTTCTCTTTGTATGCTGCAGCCTGACCTTTCTGTTTTTGAGTTTCACCAGTAGTTTGTATCTTTTTGCTGAGTTAATGTTAACCAAGTCTTCTCTTGATCAATTGGCAAGGAAACATTTGCGCCTACATCATGGGGAGCATTTTTGTCTCGCAGATGTAATGCTAATGGTTTTCCGGTCATCCTCGTGACTTGTCCTACTTCATGGGTTGTTTACCATTTCCTTGTTTCCCTGTGTAAACGTATCGATGGATTGATTTTGGCAAAATTACCTTTGATACCTCTGACAGCGCTAACACCACCCCCTCAGGCTCCAGTTGTCCCAATTAACATGAAGTGAAAAAAAAAACTGACAAAGGAAAAAAAGGCATCAGCCGAAGACTTGTTCTAATCTTTATATACATGATAATTAGTCACCAGTTACAATACACATATTTATATACTACAGGAACACAGATAATACAGGTACTCAACGTGGTTTTTACTGTTTTTTTTTTAAACCTATCCTGCATGTTGAATAATAGCCAATCATGGGGTTTGTCTTCACGTCTGGAGGACAAATGGGAGCGGATTGTTGACTTGAATCAATCACAGCCCTCATCGGTCACATCGCCTCTTCAGACCTACATTCGAAACGATTGCACGGGTCCAAAACCTCCAATCAATCGTTTCAAATGTACACAAACGTCCAAACTGTAGAGGAATCTCAATACAACTGAATTTTCCTGCCTTATGCACCACGAAGAAAACTTCATATTCATTTTTTCCCACAAACATGCAGATTACGTTTATATCTCAGTGACGTCATATTTCACCAGGAGGTGAAATCAGGCTGACTGACAACTTCTTGCAGGAGGTGTAGGAGTGTGTGAAGCAGCAGATTGTGACTCATACTCCTATCCTCTATGGGAAAAATGAATAGGAATTTGACTTCAGGAACTCAGCGTTTATGCTCTGTGACCTTTCGAGTATGGCTGACAGAACTACATCTTACTGCATCCTTCAGCAGAAGACAAACCCTCAGAGAGCCTTTTAATGCAACGTCATTATTGCTTACAGAGAAATAGAAAAAGCTTTTTTGTGTACATAGACACACAGTGCAGATTCATGGAGGGCCCTATACTTAGACAGAGATTACGGGAGGGCAGAGCCGAACTTCTGCTCGCTTTTATCATCAGGGGAAGGAAACATCCGACTCAGAGGATCTTTTAGTGCAGGCAGCAGAGCATGAGTGAGTGAGGGGTTTCTTGAGCTTAGGTAGAGGATTTACCACAAGTAAAGATGGTGAACGTCTTTATTGCTCATACAGTGACGACTTCTAGTAATTTTTAATACGATGAGTAACAGTGCACTATAACTAATTCACAGGGTTTTGGTGACTGCAACCCATGCATTCTTGTCACTGAGCGCTGCTGTGGTACTCATCCTCAGCGCTGCACTTTCTGAGCTCTGGAAGACCAGCTGTGAAACCGTCAGGGATTTGAACAAAGTCAACAGTGAATCACAGGGAATGGAAAACTACTGCTGCACTGCACAGCTGCTCAGAGGCATAGCCACAAGTACAACATGCCCCAACGTATCGGTCCATACAGAGCAGCACAGAAATACCACCAGTTACAAAACTAATACAATTGTAATTTGTTATAATCATAATAATTTTCACATCTCTAAAATCTTGTAATAATGTCAGAAGACCACGTTTCTTGTTAACATGACGAAGTATCTCAAGTGGTCAATCACAACAAAAGAAGCGGCCACCTTAGCATTGTCAATTTTCTAGAAAATGGTGCAGACATTCATATTCTCTTCAGGACATTGATTGTGAAATGCCATCATCAGGTCAACATGTTTATTTGACCATTACTTGGCTTATACCTGATATACCAGTCTCAACTCTACCTTGCACAAGTGCTAATTAGCAAATGTTAGCATCCTAGCACTCCTAACTAAGATGGTAAACACTATACCTGCTTGTTAGCATTGGCACTACGCCCGGTTTATCTTCATTGTGCAACTTTTTTTCTTTTATCTACAGGATTACATGCACGTATTTTCAAGACAAATGTGTTGTGATTTTAATGAATAAAAACAACGTCAAACTACATTAGCCTTTGCTTCTCTGGGACAATAGCCGTTATTCACACGACCACAAGAGGCCGCTAGTCTAGAAAAACAGCAAGATAAGTTGTTTTAAGTGTCTGAATGAAAACTGATATTTTTTTGGTGAGGAAAGAAAGAGAAGGTGGCGAATCTTTGAATTCATCAGCACATATGTGACCTAACTCACATATGTGCAAAACGTGTTTTAACCTATTTCTTTAGATTCCATTCTCAAATTGGACTACAACTGTTAAAGATTTTGGGGGGAATTGAACTCTTCCTCCATTTATTCTTGGAATCATGAGAATAAGGCAAAGGTAACTACTCTTTCTATTTAGAAGAACATGTAGAGACTCCTAATGTCACTTTGAATGGAAATCGTTGTCATTATAACAAGATCCTGAGACAATGTTTTGTCTCCTGGTGGCATCTCTCTTTCTTTGGGGTTTACTGCCCTGTGTGGTCCATGTAAAAGATCCCATCTGTGATGTAGATGACAAGAAAGTGAGGCCCCAACTCCACAGCAGCTCAGTTTTCTTATGTGTTCCTCATCTAATAACTTAATCAACACCTTACTCGTCATCTAACACCTGCAGAGTTGGAATAAAAACCTACAAACTACTGATATAATCTGATTGGCAAGATGCATTTTTAAGGCTGATACTGATGATAAAAAAAAAAAGAACTCAAAGCTGAAGATTGGAGACACAGTATTTTAAGCCAATAATAAACATCTTTAGATATGTTCTCCCAAGATTTTAGGGTGAAATAGCAGCTAGGCCATTATAGGACACAAAAACTCTCCAGTCAATGCCAGACCAGTCCGACGCCTTTATATACCTTAGTAGCTTTTGAAGGCTGAGTTCAGAGACTGATGCCCCTCAGACTGTTCAACAACATCACATCATCACTTCCACCTCAGTGTGGTGGTTGGAGATTTTTACAGTCCAATGTCCAACTGTTTAAAGTCAATATCTGAGCGACGTGTGGAGCATGGATTAAAACCACTGATTTACAATACATAATTATTATATACACTCTTCCAGCACTTGCTCAACTCATAATTAGTACTCATAATATACATACACATTCATGCCCAAGTGACTTAGTTGAAATTACTGTGATTTCCATTGTTTTCTGGTACTTCTCCCATTTTCTCTGCATGTCAACCAATGCCTCTAGAGACGACTGTATCACTTCCACTAAGGGATCCAGTGGCTTTAGTGTGTTGAGTGTCTTGACAGTACATTCCTCATAGATGCCCCAAAAAGAAGAACCACCCCCCCAAAAAGAATATACCACCTCATGTCGACCCACTTAACAGAGTCTTTGAGAATGTTCTGGGTCATGAGGTACATTCTGCCCCATTGACAGTCCACAGGATGGTTAGAGGAAACTCAGAGGTGAGTCTCCATCTACCAGCAAGACTGATAATGGCAGGTTATAGCCACATTCGTCAGGGATGACGAGCCAGTACCACTTGTTGGATAAATCACTTTTTTTAATGTCACACCTTCTGAGTGTTTCATCAGCCAGTAACATGGGCCAGGAAAGTGGAGGCACAAATTACAGATCCTGTTTATCACTAGCATCCTGACATTTGGAAATTCACTGCATCAATCAAAGAAAATGGGGAATGACAGTGTTAGGTAATGTGTGGGAATAATTAGTAAACCTCACCCCTGAACAGCTATTGTCTAATCACAGCTAAGCAACCGCAACTAGGCAAAGCATGGCACGTCACATCATGTTGACCATGTCTTTGTTAGCCTTTCCCAAACCAAATACACAAGCAAAAAGTTAAAGGAAATTATTGAAGTGTGTCTGGCATCTTTAACCATCTGAATCACGTCTTATGGACCGTTAGCAGCTTCAGCAACACCAGCTAAATCTTTACGTGAGATAGCATTTCATTTGCCAAACTGAAATGAGGTGATACTTCATGGGGGACAGCTGAGACTGACTCACTGTTGCTCGAGCCCATGTATCGGCAGGACTTTGTTCCTGCGGCTCTGTGGTGTCACTAGGAAATAACATTCTGATTTTCCATTTTCCTTTGTCATCATTTTGAGTAACGATGGCTTTTGCGCTCTCTGCCCTCAGTTACTGATCCTTCACATCCATGTCCTATACATTGTTTTTCAGCTGCTGTGGACTTGTAGCTTTAGCCTCGGTCTTATAGCATAATTTCATGTATGAGGAATATTTAAGACACTGTAACAGTTGTGAAGACAAGAAGAAGCTAGCTACCTAATATGCTAACGTGGAAGTCTTAGCCAGATGTGAAGCCGTTTTTTTCAAAGATTAGCATGATCTTTGGAACTGTAAATCAGTTAGTCAGCATTAGGGTGAGGTGTGCTATGCAGCAAGGAAAAGCCAGACAGGTGTAGCAATGGTAAGTAAGGGGGGTGGGGCTTAGAGAACATCAGGTGATCCAACAACAAATATCGCAATAAGAGGGAATAAAAGTGTGTTAAGGGTAATGTTCTTTAAAAGTGACTGGCCATCCGAGTTATGTACTTAATGTGGGCACAGGCTTTGTCTGCGATATTGTTAATAGCAGTTTTCATAGTAGATTTGTGGGATAGTTAGTCTAGTTATTCATGGTTAGATACAGTAATACTATATTGTGTATCTGAAGAAAATGTACACGTTTGATGCAAAGTGACAGACATCTTTCCATAGATTAGTCTCACCAAGTTAACTGGATATGGGGCTTAGCTTTAGCAGTAAGGGTTCATATGAAACCTTTTATAATAGTATCATCATATAGATCAAGAGGAGGGTTATTATTTGATGATTACATACGTGTTTGTTAATTATGTTATCATATTATGGATGGACTACCTACCATATCTGGTGTTAGATATATTAAAACCAATGAATATCAGCAGAGACCGGTTTTCTATGTCTCAGTCAGGTGAGAGCAGTCTTAACAATGGTGGCATAAAGACCAAGTTTGCTAGGACTTGCTAACATAGGTGAAGTGCAGGCCTGTCAGCAGCATGTTCGACAGCACAGAGGGGGGCACTCCGTTGTAGGATCTAGATCAGATCTGAGGAAAATCCAATTATAGAGCCACTGTGGGGCCATGGGAGCCGGCCTCAGTGGACTACTCTGACAGAGGGATCTATCTTGGAGTTTGTGATGACTGAGATGTTTGCTGCGTGTACTATTGTAACTGTGAAGCTGTTAACACCACAACTATATTTACAGATAGAAAACTCTTGTTCTCTTGTCTCAGGCTAATGAGGACCCCGAAAAGGGGCAGATTCTCTTCATGTTTTCCAGAGGACTATAGCGCTAGAAATAATAATCAACATTTTGGCAAATACACTTATTCACTTGCTTGATGAAAGGATGAATACCGCTCTCATATCTGTACGCTAAATAAGAAGCTTCAGTCTGTATATGATTACTTTCGCTTGGCATTAATCTTCAATAAAGTGATTAAGCATGTTTTCCACAATGTCGAACAATTCCTTTGAATGCACAAGCCAGACTTGTCTTCAACTGTGATATTAATATAAATTCTAATTGATAATAAATAATTAGTGAGCTTATGTGTATGGAGAGTAGGCTTTAGTAACACATATGGAAGGCACGTGTTCTGCAGCTATCCCATTCCAACGTTAAACAGTTGTGCATTCATCAAGCCTGCTGGAAAACGCCTGCTTCTGTTCACCAGGTTTTGTGTGAAGGTCAATACACTTGAAATACTTGCAATAACTATGTGGCCCAACAGCAACTATATAACAAAAATATATTTTTAAATACTCCTTCCACTCCCTCAAAAAAACATTATCCCAGGGTTATATCCCCATCTGGAATACTGCACAACATTAAGCCTTTATTCAGGTAAGTGACTGATAATCTTTTATAATCAGGTGTTAAGTGCTTTTATCTGTAGACAAAATGTGGCTTGATAATGGCTGGGTCAGTGACTTTATGAGAGGGGGCAGAACAGCGTGTGCTTCCAGTCTCAGAAACCAGGAGCAGCAGTTGTTCCGTCCTCCTCCATGAACTTTATTTAACTGTGAGGGAAGAATCGCGGAGAGGACAAAGAGGGAAGCTGGGCAAGTGCCTAATATAATGCTAGGTCGTGGACATTCTCGACAGTTGTCTTAAGACAAATGATGAAAAGACAATGTGCTGCCTCATCCTGCATTTATACCCCACTGACAGAAAATAAAATATTAAAGCTGGGTGATCGTACAATCAACCTATAATACGGCTAAAAGGCTCAGAAAAATGTGTGTGAAAGGGTCAATTAAGTGATAGTAAACAAAAGTATTTTTGTACTTTTTGTTTCAAAGTGTTTTTCAAGGTTTAGTCTCAGCCCTTTGGCTCCACTGGGGGGAAAACTCATTGTTACTGTGCTAATATTAGGCAAGGTCCTTTCAACTATATGGTAACAGTTTAGTAAAGGATCATTACTTTTTCAACTAAACTAGAGCTGAACTAGACAGATTCATCAGCATGGCCAATATCTTTGGCTCATAATAGCTTAGTAATTATAACAGGGCAATGGTGTGTAGTAGTTTGGAGCACTGACAAGTTTTTCAACTGTAAAATTCTGTCATTCAGTAAATATATTTCTTTTATTTCTTTAATAACCAAATTCAAAGGCTCCTTATGAAATTGTGTACTTTAATTTTGTGTAAATTAAGAACCTATCATTGCTTCTGTATAGTAGAATATTAATATCAGTGCTACCTTTGTTAACTGCAGTTAGCGCTACTTTTACCTGACATCACTAAACATGGCTAAATGATCTTGGTTCCAAACTCTGGAAGAAATCCTTTAAAGAAGAGTGGAAGGTCCTATAACACAACAACAATCATGCAGTGACATATTCAGCTATAACACAGATAGGGGTGCAAAGTTCGTGTTCACATAGTGTTGGCCATGTGGTGGATACTCTACCCTCTGCGGGCTAAGTGGTGAGATAATATTTTCTTGTTTTAAACTGACATAATGTCTGTCTTAACACTGTCAAGAGTGGAGCGACCAAGCATTAGAATTTGAACTACTGTTCAGACTGAAAAGAAGTGAACCTTTGCCTAAACTAGCCCTGAGGAGCTCCAGCAAGCTAACAACATGCACTGAAAGTACATTTCCCATGACAACTCAGAGTTCAAGGTTAACCTGTAGCTCAGGTTTGTTCTTGTCATATGAGACTAAACTTTCTCATTCATCACAGTTCAAAAAGAGTCACACAGTTTGCCCAAGTTGAAATGTTTTCAAATCTTAATTGGCACTGCCTACCTTTTACTGTTTGTTCTTATCTGTTACAGTGTTTTGTGCCGCTTCTAAGATTCCTTTCATATTCAGTCTGAACACATCTAATTAACCTGTATTTCCAGCTCAGGCTTCATTTTTGACTGATCAGTGGTCACAATGGAGTGGATGTAGTTTTGCACTTTACCTACAGCATTAAAGAGCAGGGCCTGTGCTCAGTGGGCCAGCTTACATTTGGTAACATTTTGGCTGAGGACACTGAGCACCACTCTTCTGACAGACTCAATAATCACATAATAACTGCAGGAGCCACAACTATCTACTTTCAAAGAAAGATGTGGTGTTGAAGGCAGTGGTGGGTGGGTGGGCTGAGGGGCAGGGAGCAGGACTGAATAAATGAAGGAGATGGTTTGGTTTGGGTCATCTCTTCAGATGATAGCATCATGGGGCAGGTGAGGCACTGCCACTCCAGGCCTCCAGTTGGAGTAGCGCTGCATGTGGGGTGGCAAGTGACCAGATGGTAATAGGCCTAACTGCTCCCTAGATCTGCCTGGCCACCTCCGGCCCCATTGGCGACTACCATAACCTAGCCTGTGGCTTTTCCTCACTGCCTGGCCTAAAAGCATGGCTGTCTGGGGCCAGAGTGGGTCCGTAAAGCTAGAGATGCTAGACCCCTGAAAAGGAATACAAGACCTGCGCCTCACTGGGCGTTCTACTTGGTAGATGTGGGAGGCTGTGAAGAGGTCAGGGCTAAAGCCAGAGCAGGGCTCCCGTGAGCCCCCTGTCAAGGAGATACGGCCCTCAAGTGATGGCCCGAGTAGGCTGAGGCTAGTTCTGTCTGTCAACGAGTCCGTTCGGTCTTCATAGCTGAGGTCAGCAGGTGCCGAGCACTGCTGTAGGGGCCATCCTCCACGACTCTTCCCCCCAATGTCTGCAGTGCTCCCTCCTTCACCGCTGCGCTCTACCCTGGCTGTCTCATCTTCCTCCTCCTCTTCCTGTTCCTCCTCCTCCACCTCCGCTACTTCCTCTTCCTCCACCTGCCCCTCTACAACCCCCTCCTCCTCGTCTTCTGTGCTGGTGGGTGGCAGGGAGCGCGGGTCCCGCAAAAAGACCACTATGACAGTGATATTATCACTTGAGCCCGCATCACGAGCAGAGGCCACTAGCTTGTGGGCTACCATGGTCGTGTCTCCAGAGTTCTCCTGGAGGTGGTCGCTGACCACCCGCACTGCCTCATCTGAATTCACTGTGTCCCAGAATCCATCACAGGCCAGAATCAGGTAGTCTTCAGAACCATCTAGTGGGAAGATACCATGGTCTGCATCACCACAGATGTAGGGTTTGTGCTCTGAGTCCCCTGTCAACATAGGTAACAGGTTAGATCCTTCTCATAACAACATTTATGACAGCAAAATTTACAATTTTAGTGGAATGAGTGGACTGTCAGACAGAGACAGACATCTTAGTTTTTTATGTCAACATCAATTGTCAAAGTGACTACCTTCACATGCTACTGTAAATATTTATAATTCTTTATGATTGAACTTCTGAAATATTTCCATGAAATGTTTGGGAGCAAAAATGTGATAAAAGGCATTAAAAAACAAATATCGCAGTCAAGTGTATTAATATACTACATGTGGTACAGAGTATTTGAATGTAGTAATCCTTTACCTATTGCTCTGGATACAGACAGACTGCCATTAACCCTCCATGTGCCAAACCAGATCACACAGCCTCCCAGAGCCTCGATCCTCTGCTTCTCATCCTGCAGAGAGACACAAAGCACAACTGGCTTTAGTGGTCATAATGGTGATGACTGTCACATGGTGCATCCTTCTATTTCCTGGAGCAAATGAATGGTGCTTTACCTCTTGTAAATGGTGCTTGTGGACTTAAAGTAATAGTCTACCCAATCACACTCTAAAAACAATAAACTACCACATATGGTGATTTTTGACTGAATATGTACAATAAACAAATATTCAAAAAGGCAGAAAGAACCCTGGAACAAAACGATGAATGATGTTCTCAGTTTGCAGTAGAAAAACATATCATACTGTTTTATTGTTTACTGAATAATTCTTGATTCAAGAACTATGGGCTTTGGTTCTTCATCTCAATCAAGTGGAAATTATAGATTTGTGAAGATAAGTGTGCAGGTGTAAATGGCTACCTCTCTGTCTGGTTTATGTGGTTTCATCAGCTCCACGGCCTGTCCTTTCCTGACCAGAATGACCTGGGAGTCTCCCAGCCAGGCCACATACAAGGTCTGACCCCTCAGGAACGTCACTACGCCTGTCGTGCCACAGCGCAAGTTCTGCCAAACAAAGACATGTTTCTTACAGTGTTCAAGTCGAAAGCTGTAAATTTGTGTGATTGCTGGATGAAGGAAAAGATGGAGAGAGGGGATGATTAGGAGGAATGGAATGTCCAATTTGAACCTGAGCGGTGCTTTGTTGTTGAACTACTGCACTAGTAATCGATTGGCCACAACATAAACCATGTTTGTGCAGATGTGGGCGCCTCTCATGCATGTGTGAGAGTGGGGTGGCCATGGAGCAGGACTTTCAGTTGGCCTCAAGGAAGTTCTGGCGAACCATCAAATGACTCAGGAAGGGAAAGCAGGATTTAGCCCCGGCTATGTATAGCAGCAGACTGGGATTAGTGGTTTATTAACTGACTTTGAACAGTTTGAGGGACTTCTGAATCTGACAAACATGCCCTCTAAAGATGAGGCAGGCTTTGATGACTTGGAGCAAGCCTGACTCTAGTCTAGTGGTCAAGAAGCTCATCAGTGGCAAGGCAGTAGGTGTGGATGAGATTCTCTGTAAGATGCTTAAGTGTTGGGCTGTCTTGGCAGACATGCCTTACAATGTCGCATGAAGGTCAGGGACAGTGCCTGTGGAGTGGCAGACTCGGGTGGTAGTTTCCAAAATTAAAACGTGAGGCTGGAAAGTGTGCTCTAATTATCGGGGTATCACACTGCTCAGCCTCCCTGGGAAAGCATTTGCCAAAGTGCTGGAAAGGAGGCTCTGACCGATTTTCAAACTTCAGATCCAGAAGGAGAAATACAGATTTTGACCTGTTCATGGAAAAAACTCTTTATCCTTGCTGTAGGGTAAAGAGTTGCTGTTGGTTACAGTCGGGGTTGTTGGAGTTTACACATTCAGTCTACATGTGAGAGGGAATAAGCTTAAGACCAAGTCCCCCTTTTATGCTCCAAGAGAAGGAGTTTTTAACTATCTCTATCTAATGATTGAGGGTAAAATGTGTGAGTGAGATTGACAAGTGAATTGATGCAGCATCAGTATTAATGCAGACGGTGTACCAGACCATTGTTGGGAAGAGGGAGCTGAACCAGAAGGCAAAGCTTTCAATGAATCAATCAAACCCTGACCTGTGGTCATTGGCGGCTCAGAGATCGGATAAGGAGCTCAGACAGGGACATCTAACTGGCAGGAGACTATAAGGTTGAGTCAGAACAGGCTAAACAGATTATTTATCTCATCTGGCCTGGGTAAACCTCCGGATTCTTAAACCTTGAATAACCTCCTGCCATCAAGACCCAACTCCAAATAAGTGGCAGAAAATGGATGGATGAATGTAATACGGCATAGCACTACTAGAAGTATCAGCAGAAGTCTCAGTAACAGTATCAGTACAAGAGAAAGCAGTTGCAGCAATAGTGGGATTACTAGTTGTAGTTAACTTTTTTGGATCATCAACAGGTTTACACTGGTCACTACTCTGTTGTTTAAAAAAAGTTTTGATTACCTCTCTTGACGCCTTCTTTACAAAGCGTTCGTCAGTGACTTTGAAGGCTTTGCAGAGCGCCTCGATGGGGTCGTGGCTGAAGGATTCCTGATGAACTAAGTTGACATGGAGGTGATTGGCAGCATAAATGGCAGCATCCACACCACCGTGACCGTCAAACACAGCAAAGAAAGCCTGTTCTTCCTGATCCTGAGAGACAATACATGGCAGTCAGTGGGAAGACATAGTGGGATCATGTGTTGTAAGAATAACCAGAGATCCTTGTTAATTGTAAAAAAAAAGAAAAAAGAATGATCTTCATTTTGCAAAACCGTAAAAACTGTTTATAATTGTTAAGAGATTAATACTAGAAAGTTGAATAAATTGCTTTAGAGGTGAGTGTGGTACATGTTCAGAGGAATGTGAACAATTGGTGTTTACCTGAACATTGAAGAGTGTGTTGAAGTCAGGGATGATGACATGCTTGTCCTCCATCTTGCGCCTCATGTTCTTGATGGCGTGAATGGAAGTTTCGTAGTATGGCTGTGGACGGCGGCGGAAGGGCAGCTCCTTCAGCCAGAGGCAGCACATCTCAAACAGTCTATTAAACACCAGCCGGGCCAGCTTCACAGCCTCAATCACTGACACGCGCACACACACACACACACACACACACACACATGTTTATTGTACACATGCATCTTATTTGAATATATGAAAACTAAGTTGTTTCTGTTACATCATTTCTGGTTTTCTTATGTTGTAATGTTTCCAGTGTGGGACCTATGGGTGTGAATGATCAATAGAGGGCACATGCTCTTTCTGCCAGCATGAGCTGGATTCAGAGTTTAAGTTTTGAGAGTTTGTGAGTTTATAGGAATAATCCGGCAAGAATCTACCTCAAATTTTAAAAACCCCCTCCTAGATTTACTTATAAGAACAATGCACATTTCTGAGAATGTGCCAATGTGAGCTAGGTGGGTAATTAAATAATTTTTCATCACTGTAGGATACTTTATTTTATGTTATTTTACTACAAGGTAAAAACATGAAAATGGAAAATTTTAAAATACAAATTTCATGCTTGTGCTTTCTTGTTTTTTCTCAAAGTAGAACACAGGCCCTAGTTTACTGGGCAGATATATGTATGTGTATGTGTAGCAATCCATAACATGCAATAATTTCACTTGCCAAGAGTTGAACAAAAAACTGTTTTTATTTGTTCTGCTGTGTCAGAAATGTAATTGTGAAAAATCTCTTTTCCCAGTGTAAATTGTGCCGTTATGATGCACAAAGCTCAAAGGATGATTAACTTTTTCAGAAAGGCAGATGAAAGAAAACCATAATTGAGATAGAGCACAGAGTTATACAGCCATGAGTGGGACAGATATGAGCCCAGAGCTCCTTCAGTAATAACCAAGACACAGACGGAGAGTACCTGGGCTTGACCTACTAATGTTAGCTGCAGGTATAATAGTCTACTCTCTCTGTGCTGTTGTCTGCTATCACAAATTTGATTTCAGTGAGACAGATGGTAAGAAATACACATGGATAAAGTGTCTAGCTTCTTTCACCCCTGCACCTTCTAAAAGTACATATATTTAAAACACATCCCAATACTGAACTTCTCTCTCTTCAGCTTCTCCCCACTCATGCTCCACATGGAGGTGTTTCAGCAATGCATCTGAAATCAAGGACTATCCATAACACCTTGCAAAGAGTCGAGGAAAAGACACAACAACAATAAGACAGAAGAGTGGGATGAGGCAACATCAAACAGGATGTGATCGGCTGTTATGCAACACCAGAAGTTCTTTGAGAAAGCACACACAGCGAGGTGTGGAACAGTTTGAGCTGTGAGTTTGAGGCCATCAAAATTCAACTTGTCACACAATGAAAGTCTTGATAAGATGGTGAATAAAACAAAGTGTACTGGCAAAGACTTGTTAGATAATATTCATCCAAGAGTTGAGGGTTTTAATTTTGATATGATGAGAGAAAAACAGCAAACATGGCTCTTCACATAAGTATTCAAACTTTTTACTTAGAACTTAGTTGAAGCACCTTTGGTAGTGATTACAGACTCAAGTACTCTTGTGTATGGTATGACGAGAATGTCCTTGTGTTAAAAATTACAGGATGGGTCCTTAGAAGCTTATTATAACTCATAATAATGTAAGTAAACCTCTAGCAGCCATGTTAATTATGCCAGGAGCAAATAAGGAGGAAGTTAGACGGAGGGTTGTGGTAGACATATGGTTCAACAAACATGATTTTAGGATGACATTGTACACCTTGTTTATGGGATTTTCTAGCATTCAGATCCTAGCAAGCTCTGTCAGGATAGGTACCATCACTGGAAAGCCATTTTAAGCTCTTTCTAGAGATATTCAATTGGGTTCAGCTTGTGCATTTACAGATCTGTCTCTATGTCCTCTGTTGTCTTGGCTGTGGGATTTGGGTCGATGTCGTGTTGGACCCAGACTGAGGTCCTGAGCGTTCTGGATGAGGTTTTCATCAAGCATATCTCTGTGCTTTGCATCCTTCTGTTTTTCCTCAACCCTGACTATTCTCCCACTCCCTGCCGCTGAAAAACACCCCCACAGCAAGAGGCTGCCATCACCATGCTTCACAGTTGAGATGGTATTTGGCAGGTGATAAGCAGAGCCTGGTTTTCCTCCAGACATGATGCATAGAATTGAGGCCAAACTTTGAGAAGAAGCTTCTGTCTAGCCACTCAGCCTTAAAGCCTGCATCTGTGAAGTTGTGTATTGACGGTTGTCTACATGGGGGTGTCTCTGTCTCCTCCAGTTGTTCAGTTTGGTTGGGTGAACAGCTGTAGGAGGAGTCACCATTGTTCCAAACAACTGTTTGATTGAGGCATTATGGAGGTCACTGCGCCTGAGAACCTTCAATGCATCAGAAACCTTTTTTGTAGTCTAGACGGACAGTCCCTTCACCCTCATGACTTGTTTTTTCTCTCCAATATCTGAGCTAAATATCAAACGTCATAGTGAAGGATCTGAATACTTATGTTGATGTGATATTTAATTTTTTTCTTTCAAATGAATTGGCTATTAAAGTAAGCAATTCAATGGATGTAGAAAAATTCTACTTCAATGATGTGGATGTTATGGATTACTCATGAAGAGGTGGCGTATGGTGGATGTAGTATATCTGTGACAATACAGTCAATTTCATGCCCTCTAGTGGTCAAATACCACTTATTGCAGTTTTTCTGGGGAGAACTGGGACAAAGCCCTGGAGGTTACATGCCTGTGTACGTGTACAGGATGACGTGAGAGAGTGAGACCTAATTTGTCTGTACCTGTGTGTGTGTGGGTGTGTGGGTGTGTGTGTGGGTGTGGAACCCCCCGAGGACTCACATGGTAGTGGGTCAGCTCCATCTTCAGCAGTCTTATTGAGGTGGTGGATGGAGAGGTCAGTCTGCAGGAGGCTGTCTGCTGTGGCTCTGGCCAGGGCTGCAGCCAGGGAGCATGGACAGTTACTGTGGAGAGGAGAGACGACACAGTTATGAATGGGGCCAGAATTATCTGATGTGGAGCGCAACAGTGTCTTCTTATATGTGACCAGTTTAATCGTAGAATAAAAGAAACAAAGAATAACAGCAAATATATTATCAGTTTCTTAAACAGATGCATTTTTCTTGGCACATATTAAATACTAGAACAGTTCTATTTGAGTGCAGCGCTCGATCAACACATCTGGCCAAAGCTGTGTGTGCATCTGTGTCAGAGGAGATCTGTCTCCTCTAAAGGTTAAGGTGCGTCAGGGAGGAAGAGGAGGGGGAGGAGACAGAGGAGGAGGATGAAGAGGGGGTCGTTTGAAGGACTGAAGGCCTGTTGTATGTGAGTCTGTAAGACAACTATGTCACCTTCAGATGCAGGTAACCATGGTAACCCAACTTCTGGATGCTGTTAAATGAAATAAAACCGGAACTGATATAGTTTGAGGGCTTTTTTATTCAAGAGACAGGAACAAAGTTTACTTTGGAGCAATGGGAGATATGAATATAATTAGGTATAATCAAAATAAATACCAACATTTTTATTCTGTTATGTCCTGGACAAAATTGATGCCAGGCTCATGTTCAATGCTACAAAATGTGTCCATTAAACCCAATATGATGTTCCTGAAATGTGTTATTGATTATATTATATTATATTATACTATACTATACTATGTAACCCTATACTGAAATGTACAGAGCAACAGTAGCTTGCTAGATAATATCCTGAACACCAGAAACTATCATAACACTGTTTAATTTAGCCAAATTAATGAACTGAAGTACAACACAGGGAAATGTTCTACAATTAAATAGTGTGAAAGCACCACTGTGGCTCCTTTGTTAAATTACATGGGATTAATCAATGAGCAGTCAAGCAGATTTTAATGTATGACCCAAAGGCTGGTTCATTTTTTAAAATGAAAATAACAAACTTGGATCTAAGGGGTCTACGTCTTTGAGCATTATGTTGTATAATGGACAAGAGCATAAAGGTGAGGTCTTGTGAAACATTGACAGAACCTCTGCTGAATAAAGCCTTAATGTGTTGCCAGAGAAAAATCGTGAACATAAACAAAAGTACAAATTCATAGAATAAAATAGTCACTTCAACAATATAAAAACATGACCATTACTTTTCTTTAGAGAAGCATAGAAAATTATATATATAAACATATTTACTAGACAACATGCACACAACACAGACTAAAAACATGAATTTTCCACACGCATATAACTTTAGTGTTTTTTTTAATGTTGTTCCCCTTTATACATGAAATCATAATTTGCCTCTCTCCTTTTTCTCTGCTGGCACAATATGTTGTAGTGTTCGAAAAAGTTAATACACAACAGGAAGTACTGCTCTCACCATGGCAACCAAAGCAACTAGAAATAACTTCAGTGACGATAGTTTGACTGAAATAGTTAAATGAAGAACTAATTTCCATCCGGACATGACAGAATATTTACAGACACTGTTAACTACTTGACATAAAAAAAAAAGGTTTAAACGTATAAACCTTGTATTCTACTAAATGTATACTAATGAAACAATAAGATAAAAGAGAGTACAATTTTGCAAAATTGTAATAAATTATTTACCCCTGAGTTGTTTTGTATTTGAGCAAGATGAAAACAATGGACCATGCAGCTGCACTAATGTCAAGAGATCAACACAGTCTTGGTGGGTGGCACTGGGCTGCTGGTTCGATTAATTATTGACTGGCCTCCTGTCACTTCTCCACCGTTTGAGTCCATATGTGTAATGAGGAGGATAAATAAGCTTCTTCAGCCAATTAGAGTCAAAGTAAAACTGAGGTTCCACCACAGCTTCACAGAAACAACTGCACCTCCCATCTTTCTTCAATGACTACAGACCAGTTCCCCTCAGACCTCACCCAACTCTCTGGACTCCCTGCAGTGCGGTTATTACCCTCAGGTTGGAGTCAACAATTAATCAAAAGTCTTTAATTTATCATGTGTATTTGGTACATTTCAGTCCATCCTGCTGTGAGATGAAGGCTTGTTCCTTCAGAACCTCCTGGATTACTGACACGCAGACAGGCCACAGTTTGTGAGGCTGCTGGGATTTGTGTCAGTAATCCAGGAGGTTCTGGAGATATTTAAGCAGCACAGGAAAATAAAAAAGATACACCTTTCCTCTTCACACTGTTCACCTCTGACTTCGTCCTGTCATCTGCAGAGGTTTTCAGAATCCTGAAGGACCACTATGTGCTGTCATAGAATTATGATGAAGTTTAGTCATTCAGTGGATCAATAACAACCTGCTCTACAATGTGGACAAGACAAAAGAGATTGTTGTGGATCTTTGAAGGACCAGGACTAAATTAAACAAGCAAGAGGAGTGACACAGATAAGCTGAAGTCCACTTTGACAACAGACTTGACTGGAAATGCAACACAGAAGCTGTTTGCAAGAAGGAAAAGAGAAGAATCTGCTCTAAAAAATGGTTGAGAAGCTTGAGAATATACTTTTACGTAAACAAATTTGAAACATCCTGTCAATTTGTTCCATGACTCAATTGTGATATTTCACAAATCAAACACTTAATATTTAAACAATCTGCATTTTCTACGTGTGAATCCTTGTTTAAAGGACCCGTTCACCTTATGAGATTGTCCCTTCTCTTTCTCTGACTCATTTTGTGGACTTTTTCATGTGATGAAGTGGTTGGAAGAAAAATATCAGTTCGAAAAACAGGAATGGTCCAAATGCTCTCTAGCAGTATATAAAGGCTGCGGCACCTAATCGAAGTACCTTAAATAAATGTACATTTTTTAAAGTACACCCACTGATAACTTTTTGGGTAAGAATCATACTTAAGAGTTACCTGGTCCAGCATTATGTGTATCAATGTTGTAATCCCTCTTCTCTGTCAGGAACGACTTTCTAGTCAGGTCCTTGATTTTATTCTCAAACTGGGTCAAGGGCTAGAAGCATGAGGAGCAGAGTCGTTAAAGCATGGCTCCATATAGCACTAACCATAGCAACCTTCTGGGCAAACCTCTCCTTGAAAACATGGCGGCTGTGATAGTCAAATATCTTGTTCTACTTCTTGAAGGGCTGAAGACAAATTATATAACGGATCTAATTGTGAAGTCATTGTATGAATTGAATCAGCACATTGCAGAACGACCCTGTGACCCCCTGTGTGCCCTCTGTGTGTCAATCATGAGGATTCACCATCAAATAACTAATTAAAACCAAAAATTTAAAATTACAGAAAGCATCTTTGAGTAAAATTAATTTAAGGTGTATTTAGCTTTTTTTAGTTTGGCCTACGTCCCATATGCTGACATGTCAGGTTTGGTGACCTATGACCTATACTGCAGCCAGCCCCCAGGGGACCATTCAGATGATTTGGCTTCACTTAGGGAACTGTCATATCATCCATCTCTCTACAGTTTCAATCAGGACTCCACTGGATACATTTAAGTGCGTTTATTCGTATCTTGGCCTGCACTTTCTGCCCCTGTTTACTACCACTGTTTACTATTATAAAACATGCCATGAACATGAAAGAATACTGTATATGGAGCACCTGAGAGTACACGACAGATACAGAAGAAATAACAACGGAAACAGGAGAATGAGGAGAGGTGGGCAGGGTCTGTATGTCAGTGTTTGAGTTTGATCATCAGCAGTGTCCTCTCCTCCATGTTTCCATTCATAGAAACTCTCTACATTTCCCCCTCTCTCTCTCTCTCTCTCTGTCTCTCCTCTCCTCACTCGTTCCACCACTGGCAGCCCGTTGGGGGTGGATGCTGAGCCGCAGAGCTCTGATTGGCTGCAGGTAACACAGGAGAACGCGCGGCGCACCAATGACAGCTCCCGGTGGCTTGTGCATCACAGCGAGGTCATGTGCAGCAGAGGAGGATTAAAGGAAAGCTTAATCTCGGTTCACACCATCACACTGCAACAACACGACTCACCAGATAAATGACCAGCGCCAGTTTAACTGGTTGGACTGGATGTCAGTCATTGATTCATGATGAAGAGAGTCTTGGCTTGTCTTCTTTTTCTTTCACACAGCATCCAGTCTATATGTGCAGTACATGCATTACTCTTTTATTTCTGTGGCTTTTCTTCTGTCGACCTCTTAATCTTGATGAATAGTGCATCATTTCAATGGGGACATTTGAAAGTAGCGTATATGGTACTCACTCACATATAGAGCCCAGATAATCCAGCACAAGAGAAGAGACACTAACATAAAGGGAGGGAGCTCATCTCTGGTAGTGTCAATAACCACTTTCCTATTGACCTTAAGGCCTCTGCTTTGCATTTTGACATTTAGCCTTTCTTTGGTGTTTTAGATTCTGTGAGATTTTACATTCTTGTTTGGTTTCATGGTTTTGTGAGGATCCAAAGAAGATGAGTGATTTAACTGATGAATAAGTTGATTTGTGTTTCCTCTCACCTTAACCTGAGCCTCAACATGTCCCGAACCTCAACCAGTTGCTTCTGTTACCATAACCAAAACTACACCCAGACACCAATAACAAGGTGGACGCAACAGAAACCACAATTTGAATGTAAAGGAACCACCAACAACTGTGGAAGGTCAGTGCAGATAAACAGAAAGCTCATTTTCTACATGTAGGAAGTGACTTTATAGATGATTTATTTATTGGCTCAGATAATAACATTCCGGTTTGATTGACACTGTCAGAGAGGTCCAAGTTAAACTGGCCAATGTTTTTATTATGGCGGTTGTAATTAGTGGAGGTGTTGTACTAGACTGTAGTACTTATGCTTCGAATATTCTCCCACCCTTTTGTGTATAAAAGCAGTAGAAACGGAGTATGACCTGAGTATAAAACGTACTACAGCTGAGACAGTGGATAAAGTTTGGAGTTGAATGTATCTGCATGTTTGAGTCAGTGGTGATTACTGCCTGCTCCCATGGTCCTTATCACAGTCTGGTGGTGCTTTTGTTCTCTGCCGTGCTCTGTGCT